GGAATTTTATTGCAGTTAATATTAAGAAGAGCGACCTGCCCCTTGCTGTGATGTTACTTGTTTTAAAGAGATAGTTTGACATTTTAGGAAACTTATTTGCTTTCTTACCAAGAGTGAGGTAAGAAGATGGCTACCAGTCTGTACGCTAAATGTGAACTACACTAGAGCCAGAAGTCGGTTAGCGGAGCTTAGCAAGTTAGCATAAAGGCTGTAAACAGCTGGCCTGGCTCTGTCTAGTTTTTCAGTTTTATTAGGCTGTAAAAGGATTATTGAATATTAACTTTCTCTCTCTGCTTTTGTCCTTAAATCCAGCTGAGGACCCAGGAGATGCTGCCAGAGAGCGGCCTGCTGATGGCAGTTTCCTGAAGACCAGCTGTGCTTCCAGAGCTGCTGGGGCTGCGGCCGGTCAGCGTCCTCCAACAAGGAAGCGCAGCAGCCAATGCCTGCTTTAGACTTTAAAAGAACCAGCCTCAACGCTACCACCTCTGACCTCTGACCTCTATGCTGAAACCGCCAATACACCTCCCCAACACCCACCCTCATCCTTCCAGCCCCCCCCACCCCCACCCCCACACCAGCCTGCCCTCTCCCATTCTTCCATCCTTCCCCCCTCTGGGCAATATGTGCACAGTATAATCTGCACCTTGAGCCTTACCAAACTCCCCTCACTCTCTGCCCCCTCCCCCAACCACATGTATTATTGTCTTTGAGTGATGCAGTCAGCAGTTTGCCTTGTCGTGTGTGTGTGACAGAAGAAGGTGTTTGACATGTGCCTCTGATGGTTTCAGTGACGTGCGTCCTACTGATGGAACTGGTTGAAGATGCTCTTAGATTCTGATCTCAGACCAGATGTATCTTTTCAGTCTGGTTTCAGTGGAGTTAAATCACAGAAATGTTGAGGGTAATCGTGCTAATTTAAGTTAGTGTCAAATTACCTTGTATTTTTGAAAATATGGACAAAGAATTGACATTGACATTGGAGAATTTAAATTTTTCTTATACTTGAGAGAACTAATTACTACTTGTTACTTAAAATAAAAAGTTTCTAAGATAGCCCCTGGATCTGTCTGTAAGAGCATCCTCTCCTGAGAGCCAGACAGCCTGTGGACGGAATAGATGAACATGCATGTTTAAAAATGGCTTGTGGGAGGAATTCTGCACACGTGTACACATATCTATATGTGATTGAACTCAGCTCACTCAAAGACAAGACATCCTCAACTATGACTGCCGCAGAAATGTTTACTTCTCGTGGCGCTTTTATTAACGAGGACATCTTTTTTTGCAAATGCAATGCAAATAACAATGACACCCACAATGTATCACTAGACACAGTGGAAGAATGTAGAGGAGGTAGGCGATCACTGCTACATAGTTGTGTACTAGCTATATCTGTATTTGTGGAGGAAGCTTATGAATGGTATGTCAGCCATCAGCCAAGGGTTATGAATAGCAGAACAAAAGCCAGAGAATGGTTCCATTTCAGTCACAAGCCTCCTCTTTTAGCTCCTAATGGTGCTTTTTGGCATCAAGCTGCAGTTGTAAAAGTAATGAAGAGTTGGGTCAGTTAAATTCTTAAGGCTACTTTGTGATTGGTCAGTTGTGATTTCTAAGCAGGATGTACATTACAGTAGGTTAGAAAAAAAGAGGTTAATGTGCTCAAATGGAACCAGGCTAAACACGCGTATTCAAGCTCCTCTGTAGGAGTTCTCATACGAGCATGTGCAATAATAATGTTGTTTCTTGAATGATCATGCTGCACCGGGTTATTATCATTATTTCTTTGCCTGACACTGGATTATTAGTCACACTCATAATAATGTTAGGACACGATCAGTGTTATGATTGTAAGTTTTTTCTGGAGTGTAAATGCATGACAGAGATTGGTAAATGGTAAAATCTAAGCTAAGGAACAGGGGATTGCCAATACTTGCCAAAGTTTGAACTTTTGAACTCTTTACTTCACTTTGACTTGCCTTATCCATGCGAATGACAAACTGATCTGAAACTGATACCGAGGTGTTTTCTCTTCAGAGGGCCTCTAGAACCACAGAGACGGTAACCGTTAGACAGCTGGTTCAGTTTATTTCGAATTGTGCGACAGAAATTAGCTCCTTCCTTGGACCAAAACGCAACAGTGGATTTTTTCCCACAAGGCCATATGCTAAAGTCTTTATGTTATTTCTCTTGGTTCAGGCCATCTTAGCATTCCCATGGCAATGGCAATATAGGTATTTAAGTTCTCATAGATAACACAAACTTTGGCAGGCTACTGGCGGGATCATTGTTCTATAATTCACTCACTTATAACTACAACTTCACGTTTGGTTTGATGTGTTTTCTTGCTGTACATTTGCCATTTTATGCTGTAAATAACCTGCTTTTTCTGTATAAAAATTTCTTTTGTGTGTGTGTGTGTGTGTGTGTGTGTGTGTGTGTGTGTGTGTGTGTGTGTGTGTGTAAAACATACAACATTTGCTTTTTGCAAAGTTGATTATCTGGGTAGCTGTGCAATAGCTTTACATATTTTATTTTGATGTTAAACATCATTGTATTACAAGTATGTTTCCTACATTCACTTCCTGCAATGTATGATTTATATGCAGTGTATGTTAGAGGATTGTGTCACTTTGAATCAATTAGCCACATAGATGTGTCTGATAAGAAATCATAAACTATGCCTTCATGATATGTAAGACACAGATCACAGTACCATCCACCTATAAAAAAGCTCTGATTAATGTTGCTTCGCTTGCCTTTAAATTTAGCTTGAGAGCTGCCTCAGTCTGCTCTCAGTGGTAGAAATGGCCTTGAACTAGCGCTCGTCTACCTGAGATCTGCCAAACTAGGTTTTATTTGCGCTCAAGTCTTGAAGAAAAGACAAAAGTTGCCAAGTATTTCAATAGAGGTAAAAAGTTTGATACTTCCTTTTGAAATTAAAGAAGTTAAAAGGGAAAAGTTTTGAAGAATTGTCTACTGTAAAATAGAACAAAAAGCCAATGACTGGAAAGATTGTGAATGCTGGACCCACAAAGCACCTTGTTCGAGCGTAAACAAAGCCTTATTGCTATTTGTTATTAAGAAGGGAATCAAATGGCAGTTTGAAACAATGTATTGTTGGTCCTGAGTTGCGTATGTATATACTGCTATTTGATTGGTGCAGCTTTTATGTGACTGGAAAGCAGCTTTGTTTCTGAGTTTATGTATAATCAACTAGAAAGCCGATACAGGACTCATATGGATCCTGTCTCTGATGACAGTTAACAGTGTGTTGTGTTGGCACAAGTATTATCAATGAAAGATTTTGGGAAAGAATGAATAAAACACTTAAAAGTTTGTGTTTTGTCTTAGTCTTTTTCATTGCACAGTTTTGGTTCCAATTTAATGTTGTTTTCATATTTGAGTCCCGATTAACTTCTGCTTTTTTTTGCTAGTAGATAACAGTCAGACTTCAGATAGGACAAAGCAGTTTAGTTCTTGACTATCTTAAATTGGACTGTGGTACAATGAATTCTGGGTAAATGAAATTATTTTTTCAAAATAAAATGGCGGACCGAGTCAACACATACTATCGCACAGCTGTTTATCCCAGCAGAAAATGTTTGTCTACTGGAAGAATTCAAAAGTTACAAGGAAGTTTTACTTGGGAAATTCAGCGAAGGGTGTAACAATAAGAAGAAAAATGTGGTTTGGAAAGAAATCGCAGCGACATTAACCAGTGTCAATCCCTCTGTTTGGGGGGATAAACGGTGGACGAGAGAGCTGAGTATGGGGTCAACCGCGGTGCCACTGAGGCTCCCCTATCCACACCGGCCAGTGCTGGCGCTGACTGCAGCCCACCAGCAGCCTCCCGAGAGAGACAGACAGAGGCCAGTGACAGCCAAGAGAACACAGGTAAGATTAGGCCAATAATGTCTCTAGTGATTGTTTGAATTATAGCAGTCAAGAGAAAAAGTTTTACTTAGTGTCGGTGGTTTTGGTATGCTAACAGTTGAGCTGGTAGCTACCTGCTAACGATTTAAGATACAGCCTATGTGCAAGCTAGGCAAGTTACATGTCAACAAACACTACAACTTGGCCTTCAGTAGTGCTGTCGGTGTTTATTTTTCTTAGCGACCCTTTCTTTGACTGGATGAGACAGCAAAGGAGGAGAGGCAGTTACTGTGGTCTCTAAAAACTTCCCCTTTACATTGCTCTTTCTATCATAATGTTAGCAAACCACAAATTATGTGTCATTTTTTCTTGTTTTTTGTTGTTGGGTGCTATTGGCCAGCTCATGTCACTGATTGTTACCATGGTAGCATTAATCTTAGACCAGAGCATGGGGGTAAGGAGTCTAATGTTTTTGGCTTAAACTTAGTCAGTCTTTATTTTTGTGAAACAGTCTTACTTGCATTAAACTGCTCTATGGGCCAAATTAAGACTGGTTTTACACTACAGCCCAATCTGAGATATCTTTATGAAACTTGCCCCAGGGCTGTTGCACCTCTGGCCACACCCACAAGTGATGTCACAGTGTGCTGACACACCCACACTTTACATCACTGCAGCAAAGTGAGAAGTTAAAGCATTGGAGTAAAACAGAAACAAATTTCAACTAACCTTTAACTTTTAAAAACAGAAATATTTTTTAACTAGATGAGCAAAAGATTAACTGAAATGAACAGATATGTCTTAAGAACACACAAAAATGTCTCTTTAAGTCAGAATTCAGAATACCATCTACTTATACCAAGAGTTCAAGAGAATGTTCTGTAATTCCAACTATAAAACAGTGCTGCTGAAATGAAATACTATCTTCAGGACAAGGATATAAAAGATGACAAAATGTCAAACAAAACATACAAGCATTAAGCCAAAAACACGTGTTTTTCACTAGGATAAGAAAAACCTGAAACTTATAAAATTGACCTAAGAGACTGTGTCTTTTAACCTAGAGTACTAGCTTCTTACACTAGAAAGAAAGACAAAAAGACAACAGTTGGGACCAGCGTGTCCTCTCTTTATTTGCAAACAAATAAAACTTCATACAGTGAGTCATCACACTGGCTCTGCAAAGCATTTTAAAACATTCATGAAATGGTTGTAAAATTCAAGTTTTGGTTTTAGCCTTAAATCACCATTTCTACAGCGTTTGTCCATACTCCCTTATCATATCTGTAAGTCTTAAAACCTCTTTGGACAAAACTGCATGGCTAGGCTCAACATTCACAAAATACTTTCAGTGTCTAGTTGATCACCAACAGGATTCATGAAAGCCCCTTCTTAGTTCTGTAGAGTTTATCAACTGGGGGTATATACTGTACTGCAACTGCAGACAATTAAACAACACAACTTACAAGAGACAAAAATAACTTTTAAAGCCACCATACCTCAAAATACAGATGAGCTTAAATGGTTATAAAGCACACACACGTGAGCAAACTTTGTACAACATTTAATTTCATGGCAACTACTTATCCTCATAGCCCTGTTTATGTGTGCCTCTGATCACATTTTGAGGTGTGTGCGGTCGCGATCTGCTTCTGAACATGTAAGAGTGTCATCTCCTTGTATCTTTTAGACATTCAATACAGGCAAACCAGCAAGTTGAAACAGTTTGGGTGCACACGCCTCTGTGTATGACTATACATGTAACATACAGTACATTTCTATTTGATAAACAGAACTCAATACAGATGCACACACATTATAAAGCACTGAAAGTTCATTATATAAAAAAAAAAAGAAGCACAAATTGGGTTCTATAGTCCAGAGAAACTACAGTACAAGAGTTGTCTGCTGCATAGTTAAAAGCTTCTATCGACACTCCTGCTCACAGGATGGTAAAGTGCTCGCAACATTATGTCAAGATAAAGGCAACAACAGAACTAAACATTGACCTTTGACCACCATAAACCTTTTGTAAAGCGGGTTTTCCTCTTGAAACAGATAAGTACTCCATCTATAGTAACAATTACATAAACAAAATGAGAAATTCAACTTATTTACTGTGTATTGACAATGTCAGATTCTGTTCACTGCTACCTCCTGAACAAAATGCGGTACTTTTCTTCAACAGGTTATTGCACTTCATGTTCAAGCAAAGCCAAGTCTGCTGCTCTCTTAAGCATCTCGAAAATGACCCCATCAAGTCAGTCTGTGATTCTGCTTGCAATTTCCAAGAGAAACGTCAAGTCAGTTAGTTAAACACTTAACTGAATCAGTTAAAAGGTGGATATGACGACACAACACTTTAAAATCAAACTGTCAATCCCCACCAGAAACACTCAGTATCCCTCACTCACTGAGAGCATTCATGAAACAGATCACTTACAGATCCTCTACCTGCCAAGGTGACATATGATATGGATACGGACCCAAAAAAAAAAATCTGCTTTTTACACACGAACATGCATATAATCACATTGTGCAGCAAACACACATGATACACACAGTGATTTAATCAGTCTCTTATCCGTCTGTAGATGTCAAATGTAAAAGCCACAGTATGGTTTTCATCTCTTGCTGGGACCCTACTCACACACACTTCGCTACTTTTGTTCACAGCCCTATGTAGACAGAAGTGCAACCTTTTAAAAAAACCAAGCCAAAGTCACGGCCTTGAGCTCACCTGTAAACTTGTTTCAGTGCAAGATTTGGCTAAATGCAATGATACAAAAAACAACAAGAAACAGCAGAATACAAACAGGCTGCTTTCTAAAAGCACTGTGGAGCACCCAAGCTGAGGATTAGATAGGCTTGTAAAGCAGAGAAGTGACGTATTTCTTCTTGTATCTGTGAGTCGCACTCAGCACCATCACTCCATCCTACACAGAAAGAAAGACAATGCACAGGCGAGCTGCCGTTAGTGGGATCCAAACCCACGGATAAACAGAGTGAGAAGAATGAGAAGTGTTTCAGCTGTTTCCAGTAAAACCTACCTTTATTGAGAGAGCGTACAGGTGATTTAGCATGACGTGGTTGGGTTCAGGCAGCAGGGCAGGGTCACACTGACAAGACAGAGGAAAGAGGAAAAGTTACGAAATAAAATCAGACTAAAATTACCACCTCCGCCAACCAGCCAAGTTGCAGGAAATATCACAACTCCCCCTTCTGTTCCTGAGTTACAGCACAGAAAAATGGCCAGAACATTTGAAGAACATTATGATTTCACAATGAAGTTGACCTTAGACTATTTGGATAAAAAATGTATGTTATAATGTTTTATCCTGCCAGACATTTGTGTTGAATTGTGTCATAATTAGCTTATGAATTTGTGAGTTATGGCCACAGGTCACAGTGACCTTCATCCTGGAGTCCAAGTGAATGTTTGTGCCAAATTTGAAGAAATTAAGAAAACAGACAGATGTACAGATGGACAGAAACCTTGCCTGTCGCCAGCAAAAATAAAGACAAGGTAAATCAAGGCCTGAAGAAAATAAAGTATAAAATCAGAGTTGTAAATAGGGAGATGTGGCAAAGGGAAAGGTGCAGACACTTACAGATATATTGGTGTCTTTGTTGAGTATGACTTGAAGGAGGTGAGGAGGGAGTATTGGTGGGGCTTTGAAATGCTCCTCGGGTCTGAAGATGTACTGTTCCTGTCCATATGGACCTGGAGGGGAGCTGGACAGATCTGTGAACAAACAACAGAGACAATCACACGACTAATAAGATTTCGACATTTCTTCAAATTTTCCTGTTGTTTTGTTGTCACTGTTTACTGTGAATATGCTGACAGCTGCTGGCCGGTGTACAAAAACAACAAATATTCACAAGAACAATGTACACGTCAATCAGCAATGGTTTTGAAGAGTTTCTACCCAGTTCCTAAGACTATTCATATTCATTTTTCATACATTTCCAAACCATTCAGGTCTGTTTGTATGAGCTGAATTGGAACATAATAATAGCATAATAATTTTCCAGTAACTATTGATTAACTGATGCAATGTCATTCGCTAAATGAGAACAAGTACAAACAGTCTGGATGCAGGCTGACCTGATGTGTCTGAGCACTCCAGAGAGTCGACCTGCAGGGCATCAAACACCTCAAAGTCAGACTTCTTCACCTGGATCAGGTTGTTGATGGTGCCGAGCTGGCTGGTTACCACTGGCTGCAAAAGAGAAATGATCCCAGAGGTCATGATCAAACACTGTTCACACATTTCCCTGGATATCTGAGAGACTTAAAATGCAGTTATTGGTAGGAGCTGCAGACTTTCAAAAAGCATACACGTATGTCTGTATGATTATTCTGTGTTTTTGCAGACCAAATAACATGACAGTAGCAACATAAACAATATCAGTCAGCACCTTAGGGGTTTGAAATGGATCAGATTATCCTGTCAATTTCTTGTTGATTTCTTTTATAATGTCTTAATTTCTTTAGAGGCTTCTATCCTTTCATGTTTATAACTTTCTTCTATCTTTTCAGCACGCCAAAATTCAGAGTCTGAAACTGAACTTTTTGAGATCAAAATCATGAGTACATACATATAAGTTTTTTTCTACATTTCAATTTAAGTGGTGAAAGAAAGAACTTAATGAACTAGTAACATGAAAATGACAAGAACAAGACAATGGTTATGTACCTCAGAGGGATCGTGGACCCACTGCCCATCTACAAAAAACTTGTACTGGTGCTCTCCTTCAGGCAGGTCCAGGATCGCTACAAAGTCATTATGACTTTGAAGAGAGGAAGAGAAAGAGAATAAGTGCAATACTGGGCTGGGGTTGAGGCTAGGGTGTAGTACAGCTGAGGTAAATGGCATATATGGTCATCTATATAAGGCAGTGAAACTGCTGGCATCTATGGCAAAAAAACGATCCTTTTTACCTCTTATTTAGCGGTATCTTTGTGCCCCAGTTATTAAAGGAACCAGCTATGTAGACCTCCTTCCCTCCACCTGCCCATCGGATCACAGTGGGTCGAGCCTGAGGACCAGGCTTCACCAGGTCATCCAGATCTGGGGTGAATTCTTTCTCTCCTAATGCCTAAAGGCAATTTGTTGCAGATTTTAACTACAATCTGTTTTTAGAAAAATCAAACCTAATGCATGCCACTGAAATCTTAGAGGTGTTCTTGCAGAGCAAACAAGGCTCTGCACAATAATCTGTATTTTTCCAGTAGTACCTTGGACTCAGGCCCATGGGTGTTGAAGATGTTGGGGTCATCTGTGCTGTCCACCATCTTGCTGCTGTGTTCTTGGTCTTTGTGACTGCCGCTACTGTCCGAGCGGTGGGCTTTGGCTCCATGGCGATCTCCAGACACCCTATCACTTGTGTTGCCCATTATGCTTCACTATTTACGCTGCTACTGGAAAGAAAAGACAACCCATAAACTAAAGGACTCTAATTTAATTGTAATCAAGATGTACCATTTAGAGACTAGGAAGCACATTAAAAATTCAACAAAGAGTGTAAGACAGAATCGGTAATGAACAACATGATAGCTGGTGTTAATTTCATGTCTTGCTTTAAAACCTCTATAAAGCTGATAAGGAGTTTGTCCACAATGGGTGGACAAAGTCACTGATGAATCTCTATAAAAGCTGAACAGCCCTGCGGATACCTGTTCTGCTATTTCCTTATATGTTCACTTGCTTTCATGTTAGACCAATGCTATCTATGCAAAACAACTGAATACAATACATTATCAATATGAAGAAGAATTATAGTGTGTTAACAACCACGGCAGTAGGCCCAGTTTGCACCTCGTATGTATTCATAACAATGTAATGACAATACATTACAGGCACAAACTAGTGCTGGCCACAGCCTATTGTGTGTGCTAAATATGATATGATGATATGATGAAATGACAACCAACATACAACTAGGAATGGGTAAAACTTTCAAGATACATCAACTGTGAACATGATGAGCAGCAGTCTGGTTCACTCAAAAGGCTAAACGGCTTTCCAGAAAGGCTAAAAGGCTTATCGACCGACAGGCTAGCCAGATACGAGTAAGAAACTGTGGCTGCCCGTTAACTGTGAACTCGGATTTGGCAGAACAGATCAGGCCACAATAACCACTTCGCGTTAATACAGTCATCCTGTCAGACTTGCAGAGCACAAGCAACAAGTTTCCCAAACTGACGTCACATCACAGACTAATACACCGTAGTTAAGAGCATACAGCTTACTAGCTGTAACCTCCCACAGTCTCCCCGCTGTCTGTTCAGCTGTGCCCACTGAAGATTACTTCGACAGGAGAATATTTTTAGCTGCTGCTGACAGTTAGCTAGCCCCTAGCTGTCACTTTCTAACTGCTAGCTAGCTAGCTATTTGTCTTATTTACAATGTCGATGTCGATTGAGATAACGCGATGGAAACTGAGCATATTCACAATGTAACAACGACAGGCCGGAAAAACTCACCGATCCCAGCTGCTGTTATTGTGCAGTTTGTTTATAGCGGAGGACTCACCTCTTTGTAACAACTGCAGCGCCCTGGTGCCCCAACTACGGTGTGCGGCTAGGACAAAATGAGCTCGACAGTTAACCTATCAGCAGTCTGTGAGGAAACGCAAACTTTGTAAACACTTCCAACTAGAAGGGTGAATGTCGTTTACAGATATTATCAGACAAATAGAATACAGATATGATGAGATTACACGTACTATACTCAAGGAGAATTATAAACTTAGACAGGTATTATGATTTAAGGAGAATTATGTGGTGCCCGGATGGGCAGAGTGATATTTGATTGTCTCTTTTACCTCAATTTATTAATATCAACGACAATATTAATATAAATATTATATTAATATAATATTGGTATAATAATATGAATATAAATATTCATCTTAATGTTCTTAATGTCGATCAACAAATTCAAATTTGTTATAATTTGTAAGTGGAGTGGATATTTGTCTCCATAGGATAAATTCTGGGTTAAACTCTGCAGTTATTGTTTTGAGTGCCTGTTGCGACATCAGTAGACTGACCTTACTATGATCCTCCTCCTGGAGGATAGTATCTTATTAAGGCATAGATTTCTCTCTGTTACTATAAATCAGACATACATGGTATTTGTTATGTCTTTATGCTGTGCAAAATTACCTTCCAGATTTATATGCTCAACCGCATTGATTTATTAGGTTAACTGACCTAATTAATTATTTTTGTCCCATTTATTCTGTGCTTAAAGAATCATTGAATAATGAATGAAATCAAATTCATCATTTGAGATTAATATAATAATGTAAAAACCACATAACATACATCTTCTTCTGACTCAGCATTCTATCTGCTTTCTCACAACAATTTCTCTGTCATCTATTGTTGCCCATATTTTTTATTAGCCCTGCTTGTATAGGCTACATTTTGTTGAGCTACATAGTGGGATACAAATTAATAAGTCTAATACTTCAACACTAATATACTGAAGGACAAAAAGGTTAAAGGTCCAAAATAATATTATGATCTGGTTTATTTAAATTTTACTGAAACACACCAATGCCATTGAATTTGTTCCACATGGTCTGTCTTTATTAACCACTAGGTGGAGCTGTTAACTCATCTCAATAATCTTCAAGCCAGTGATCTCCACTCCGAGGGGCTGAACTTCACATGACTGAACCATTGTTTTCAAGTAAGCTTCCCACAAAAAAACACATTAAACTACTGTGTGAAGTTTCCACACTTCCAGGTTAACGGGTATTAAATCAAGTGTTTTAGTTTTAGTTCTTTAAAATCCACATTAACATAACTTATAATGAAGACAATAGGCTGATTGTCATCTTCCCACCACTTGGGTGTGTGTGTGTGTGTTCAGGGATAGGAGGCTTGAAGTGACGCAAGACAAAAACATGCTTCTTACAAGCTTTTCAGTCTAAGAATTAAGTATTACTGTTTTTTTTGTTTTTTAAATGTTATCATGTTGCATGGTAGAAACCATTATTAAAACCCATAAATAATCATAACTACAAAAAGATGTATGAATATATATATATGTACACTACAGACATACAGCATACCTATATATAGTAAAAAAAAAACATCTGCTGATGTCAGAAAGTTCACATGAAGTGGCTGTAAGGCACATTTAAATGATCATGAGATAACACACAGAATGTGGAATTAGTGATTTTCATATTGCACAAGAGGTGTGTCTGTGTCATGCACACAGTATTCCAGTGTTAACACGTATTGGTTTTTCAGGGCCAGTTATTTTTTTGTCTGGAGCTGATGTCACTCTATGGCGGATCTTTACAACTTAGAAAAAGTGTTATAATAACCCTTAACAGTGGATTTATACACTTAAACTGGCATAATGTAATTTTCCTCATTCTGTGTTAAAATAAGACATTAAGTCTGCTGTGAGAAAGTGTTTTCTTTGTGAACAAAGAACAGTATGTGCCACTGAGCTACCATTTTGGTTGATCACAGTTTTAAAAGAATACCAGTAGGATAGACTAAACAACTGTTGTGTATTATAATTTCTATTTTTATGCATGTTTTATGTGCAGTACTGTGTTTGTGTCAAGTATGGTTTTAGAGAGTTTATAAACTTGAGGATTGTGTTATGTGTAACAGCGGGATAAAAATTAAAGCATGCTCACCACAAATGATAAATGCTTCAGCTACTGACAGACAACCCTTATTGGGATACATGCAGTTTTCCATCCACTGAACTCCTGTGCCAGATGGTGGACGTCATGCTTGTATGTTTGATGTCCACCTGTCTTCTTGGAGTTATTGCAGACATTTTCAAGTCTGACAAATACAGTAAATGTTCTTTTTTTTTAATTGCTTACACCATCAATTGGAGATTCCTAAGCCAGTCTTCATGTACTCGTAAACCACGTAGCTAATGCTGACAGCAGGAATGACTTTCATAAAGTTTGGCAGGATGCCGCGGTAGAGTCCAAAAAACCCATCTTTGGCTACAATCTTCTTCATTAGAGAACTCATGGAGGGCTGGTCTGATGCATCCAGAGACGCTGCAAAGAAACACTCAGTTAGGGAGGCAGTGTTGTGTCCAAAAGCTCACTTTTTATTCCTGTGCTGTATGGAAGAGACAGCTATACTGAGCTGGTCTGCGCATTTCTTAAAATGTCTTATTATATCCAGATTTATCTGGATGTAGTGTTCACCTCTTAAAGAGACAGTTTAGTATTTATGCAATTATGATTTATCAGTTTGTGTGGACAATTTATTGTCCATACCTCACGCCAGAAAGTACTTTAAACTGTAATTTCATCTCAGGAAGTGAATTAAATGAGAGCGGTATGTCCTTCTCTAGTGAAGCCCACTTACATTATGTTAGCTCTAAAACAAGTATATGTTTATATAAAGTATCAGATACCTTTACAGAACTTTGTCTCCACATAAGCATCTTGCCTATAGTGAAAAATAGTCACGTAATTTTTGTGATCACTGTGATCAAACGTTAGATTTCTTTTACCTTGTGCCTGCATCCGTGTGCGTACAAGTGCGAGTGGATAGCTAGCCAGCTGGCCACAGGTACTGGAGATGGTCCCGCAGCCCAGCAACACCAGAACTCCAGGGTTAGCCGAGTCTTTGGCGTGGTACGACAACCAAGTGTTCTTTAGACTCTGGGACACGTCAGCATAACACAGAAATATATTTCTCTGATTAAATATAATGTATTCCTGCAGTACAAGATTAATTGGTTTATTGTGCATGTGAATGAGTTAATTTAACAAAGTGCACTCTGTTGTGAAATATCACAGACTGCATACCTCATAAACAGCGAGGTCTATTCCGGCATAGGGAATGATGCCCAGTAAGTTTGGAATGTAGCCCTTGTAGAAAGCTTTGACCCCCTCCTTCCTCAGGATCTTCTTGGCACAATCAAACACTCCTCCATACTGGCCGGTCTTTCTCAGAGTCAGTCGAGTTTTCAATACCTTAACAGTACAGAAGAAAATTAAATTGAGGCACTCTGCCTGTACAGATTCAGATGATTTGTGTGGTATTTTTGAGGTTTGTGGGAAAAACTCTTAAAGAGCTGGATTCATTTCATTTTAATGCATTCCATGAATGAGGCTGTGTGATGAAAGTGATGCAATAGTTGTTTTACCTCCATTGGGTAGATGGCTGTCTGCGCTGTGGCCCCAGCCATAGAACCAGCCATAAACCTCTTGTGCGTCTCAATCTTTTTTCCCTCTGATGATAACAACTTCTTATACTGCAACAAAAAACACATGGCAAGACTAGAATTACTCCCTCGCAGTTGTATGCCTCCGCCAACCAGCCAAATATGATCACAATCTCTCCTTCGTGAGTTACAGCATTGAATAATGGCCTGTGTTTTTGCAGAACATTATGATGTCACAGTGAAGCTGACCTTTGACCATTTGGATATAAAATGTCATTACTTTATCATTTTATCTTATTAGACAATTGTGTTAAACTGTGTCATAATTATCTCATGAATTCTTGAGTAATGGCCAAAAATGTGTTTTGTGCGCTCACAGTGACCTTCTCATCAGATCATCTTTGAGTCCAAGTGAATGCAGTCTTACAGATATCGCATTTACGAGAATGGGGGGTATGCAGACGGACGGACAGACAACCTGATAACATAATGCCTCCCTGGCTGATGCGTGGAGGCATAAAATTATATAACATACACATAAACATGTAATAAATAATATAAAATATGTAAAATTGCTTTGCTTTACAGAGACAGTCTCTTACTTGTTCATATGCCATAAATTTGATCGCTGTCTCAGGTGCAATCTTTAAAACATTGATTCCATTTCCTCTCCACAGTGACGTTAGACCTCCCTCTGTTATCATCAGTTTGAAGCCCCCTACCAGGCTTATCTTGTTGGTCTTAGAGGAGTGAACCTGCAGTAAAAAATGATCAAACATACAGGACATTTGCACATGCATCTATTAAAGGACAGGATACATTTGGCCTTCACATATTTATGTATAAAAATATATTTCACCTGCATGAAGACTTTCACCCTATCCAGAGGGGCGGTGCCGGTGCGAGAGACGGCCCCCGCCACTGCACCGGCAGAGAGCTGCTTCCACCAGCGGCCTGAGCTCTTCTCTTCTTCTGTGAACTCATCAGGGATTGCAAGGCTGTCACCTATGTCCAGCACCTAGTGAAGACAAGAGCACATGTACTCACCACTTAATGTTAAAATATATGGACACTGGTAGTGCTATAAACACATACAGTATACTCTGTTATATTAGAATTATTTTTGCCTTTGAGAATGTATCTCTCAGGAGTGTACATGTCACATAGAGTCTCTTTGTGTGGTTGACAATGTAACAAAAAAAAACAAACTTCACAAGCCAACTTAGCACTTCCCCTTTTGAGGTCTGTTTTCACATTGATGCAGCAACTGTTTTTTCAAAGTGGCCAACTTGTGTACTGAAGAGAGGAGAACATTTATAAAACCTTGGATGTAAGGTTTCAGCCAGAGGCCACAAACATTTTTCACTGTGCATTTGCTAACTTATGCAAAAATGCCACACTGTGAGGAAACAGCTAAAAACAAAAGGTGCTGTTTTTTTAAACAAACAAACAATGAAGACAAACAATGAGCTCCTTATCCTTTAGCTAGAAGTGCTTGTGAAATCATAATCACTGAGCTGACTGAACCCTCATCTCGCATGCTTTAGCTGTTTCAAATAAACATGTCCAATGTTTTTCCAAAAGCATAAAGGTGTCTGTGCCAAACGTGGTGCGGTGGCAATTTAGTGCAACGCTACAGGGAGACACAAGGGCTTTAGTTAAGTGTCCTGGGTTCGCTACTATGTCAAATATATGGTTTGAGAATGCAGTTCTGTCTCGTCTTGTTACCAAAGACACCGTACATGTGCAGTGCAGAGAGGATTTCCAAACATTCTGACACATTATCCATCAAGAGACGACCTGTTTGGCTCGTGTCGGAGCAAAACTCTTTTGCAGCACATGTAACAAACCAGTCAGTGACATCTTTATTTGCACGAGGAGGTAGAGGAGCAAGCTGAGTGAAGCAGAGTAGTCCTGTGACTTGATTATCGTGGACAGTCTAGTCTCTCAAAGCTACTGCCAAAATTTTGACTGCAGAGAAAATCCATAATATCTAACACGAGGACTAGACTGCACGTGATTTATTCCACTGCAGTTTCCATTGTGTGTGTCCACAGAATGTATATGGGAGTGTTTGTGTGTATGTGTCCTATACCGAGGAGTGTTTCCAGTAGCGTATGATCTCTTCCAGGTTGTGGCCAGGGTATAACAGGAAGTGTTCTCTCCACTCATTCCAGTCCACCATCATGGTGCCATCAATGTCCATACTAAGGAAACACAGAGAAAACTCTTAACCTATGAACTGGTGGCTTATGTTGCATTATACTGTATTGATAATAACCGTGATCCGGATGACAGCCTCAGAATCACACACAGGAAATATTTTTGGTCAAACTGTACATAGAAACATGTTACAATGAGTGGAAGTGGAGGTCAAACCTCTGTAAGATTTTCAGGGCATCCTCTCTGCTCAAATCCATGCCCAGCTCGGCAAGGGTCTGCTGGATCTCTGAGGCATCAATGCGCCCTAATACAACATAAAAACCTCTATTGTAATATGCACCAGGATAAACAGTGGACATGTGGTTTTGTAAGCATTCACTGTTCGTGCGAGAACAAGCTGCAAAACACTTCACTCATTACTTACCATCGTCGTTTATGTCCAGACTCTTAAATGTCAGCCATAGCTTCTTCTCGTGCTCCTTCAGATATCTGGTGAACTCCTTGAAGTCCAGACTCCCATCTTTGTTCTGGTCACCAGACGACACGATTTTCTGCAGAAAAGAGATATCAAATCTAGTGGTTCATTTGCCTCCATGAGACACACACACACACACACACACACACACACACACACACAGATAATCATACTGCTGAGGAATTTCATGCAAAACGAGTAGGCCAAGATCTGTAACTCCTTCCCATGGCCCCTGACATTTTACCTGTGCAGCGCCCTGCCTGAATATGCCCATCGCCTTGAGGCCCGCTCGCAATTCAGCGACATCCACCTTCCCATCCTTATTGGTATCGAGTCTTTCAAACAGGTCCTGGTATGACCTCTCACTGTCGGCATCCCAGCACCGGGCGTTTGATAGTAAAGCCGCACGTAACGTCTGATACATTGTAGGGCTAATGTGCAAGCAGAGTGCGGTCAGGATATGCGATTATTACTGCATGCTGATAATCATTCATAGGGCCTGTTGAGATCCCGATATGAGCCCGTTGTTCGCGATGAAAAGAGCGAGCTTCGAGTGACTTTAATGTGCAGACGGTCCCGTGCAGAGGTGAGATCCGTGGAGTTTCAGGGCAACTGCAGTAACCGAGGGCGGAGCAATGAGGCGACGTAGCTTACTCGATGTTTTCTACGGAAAAGCAGGAAAGATGGTAAAATAGAAAAGTGGTGAAATAAACAACCCCTCGATCAACCACTGACATAATCCGTCTTCTGCGTCTAGTAGTGATGTTTACTATTTGTTACTCTGCGCTTAATCCGTGTGATATGTGGAGATGCATTATAGAGGAAATTTAATCTCTTCATCTAGAAGGACGTGTCGTTTGAAAACCGTAGCATAGTATTTCCTACAAGGCGATAACGCTGGTGATCGTTAGAGGGCGGCGTTTCATCGCATAAAGGCTGGTGCATGCAAGAAAAAGAGTGAGGGCTCCTCAACAATCCACCAAACCTTCAACAAAATGATAGATATTTCATTTTAATTTTACTGGTAAATTTGTGTCTCTGATTCTCTAGAGGTGTTTAGTTTATTATTATTATTATTATTATTATTATTATTATTGTTGTTGTTGTTGTTGTTGTTGTTGTTGTTGTTGTTATCTTTGAAAGGGCCCATTCTGTACAATGGGCCTTTTGCTATTTTAGGCACATTTTTCTGATAATTCTTCTGTACTTTTGAGTAAACAACTGATTACAAAATTTTCACTTGTAATCGGGTATTCTTACAGTGTGGCATTGCTGCTTTAAAAAGGGAACGATTACTTCTTCCACCTCTACCACCACATAGTTAAGATATTCAGAAACATAAACTGTATTATAACAGGTTATAACATGTTACGGAGAATTACAGTTTTGACACAAAAAAGAAAAAAGTATAAAAACATTAAAATGAAACTATGAAAGCTGAGGTGACTATAGCTCTATATCCTTATATTTGTGAAATTTGTGTAAGTATGGTTTGCTTTTTATGAATAATTTAACAGTTTTTCAGTGATATGCCTCTTTTGCATTTAATTTCTTGTTTTTGTCACATGCCTGCTAAATGATATTTTCCCACTTCTTTTTTGACTGCATTAACATTTTACTTTAGCTTTTGCTGGTTCCGGGAAAAGTAGTGTTTCTCCTGTCAGTGGGAGTTTTGAATGAGTTTCAGTCACGCTGTGAAACGTGAAGTGGACATCCCAACTATTATAAACGTGACGCCTGTAATTATCTTTTTTTCGTGCAGCTTCAGTGTCCAATCAAATCACAGAATTCCCCTTGCGTCATGAGTTATATTTTTCAGTGGGTGGGAAGGAGGAGATTTGAAGTTTGAATCGTGTCTGCCGAGTCCGACTACAGCAACACAGTAGCAGCCAGCAACAGCTGAGTGAGCACAGGTCCAGTGTACAGCTGTCTGACAGCTTCTCCACTTCAGCTGTGTCCCACACTGTCACCAACGTTTAGCAAACATCATGTCATTCATTCTTATGAAGAAGAAGAGATTTAAATTTAAAGTAGACTTCGACTTGGAGGAGCTGTCATCGGTTCCCTTCGTGAACGGAGTTTTATTCTGTAAAGTCAGACTCTTACATGGAGGCTTTGCCGAAGAGTCGACTCGGTAAGAATTTTTGCTATTTATAGAAGCAGTTCACTTGTTGGAACAAGCTAAAGTTAAATTTAAGTGAAACTTGTTTTGGGCAGTTTAAGGGCCCCCCCCCCCTCAGTTTTCTTTGCACAATGTTTAGCATTTCTTGTCTCGGCTTTGCTTCTTTTTTGACAGCGACAGTCTACAGCATTTAGACCAATGTGTAACTAGTTCATGTTAAGCTACACAACAGAAGCTAGCTATAAGCTAACCTATCTAACCTTTAAACGTAGTACTAACATAGTAGTACTAACTTATCTTGCCAACAGTCGAAGACTTGCTGCGGAGTGCAAGGACAGTACAACCCAGGGGCCGTGATTTAACCTGATTTTAAATGAGCCATTGACGCTAAATAGTTCAATGATATACACATATTTTTAAGAGGTGGCGATACGGCAGTCTTTTTTGTGTTAAACGATGTTTAACGTTACACAGTTTACCAAGCAGTTGCTAAGCAACACGTTCTGTAAATTAATGACTAGTTCAGTCAACAGTTGAATAATAATAATAGTTGGAGGCTGTTTAACAGATATTTCGACTATCGTTTATGTTTATGTTATCTATCTATTGCTCCTATTGTTTTGTTATAAACAAAAAACAGAATTTCCTTCCATTGCAAAGGAGCATACCATCTTAATTCCCTCGGGTCTATGATTATAACCGCTCGTAGCACTTAAATGAGTCACTCTGGAAAAAACGGACACAGGCACAGCTCATGTCAACCGCTAGTCCTCATTACTTTGCCATGGTAACTGTGTCCCTAAAAACTCTGGTGTAAACAGTGATCAGCATTGTCTACTGTGCATCCTGTATGTGCCTTGTGAAGTCAGCTTTACTAAAATACCACAAAATCACAAATCACTGCCTTCTTTTAATTAATAAGCCAAGTACAGCAAGAACACCCATCACAGAAGTTAGGCCATCCTTCACACATAAGTATTGCGCACATATAGGACCAGTTGGAATTAACAATTGTTTGTATAGGATATTACTTTAAATAACTTTGTATGAGATAACTTAAAGCCTCTAGGAAGATCATGAACTCACTTCACAGATCAAATTTAAAAAATATCACTCACTACATTCTTCTACATATTTTGAGTATAATTAGAAGCACGCAAAACCTCAGCTTTCACTACTCTTGATGATTCAGGAACACATCCTCTCTATTGTACATACTTAATGTCTGTTCTTTCAGTTTCCAGTATTCCTGTGTGTTTTGGTCTCTGTATGAACTAGTGCGTCTAAATGTGTTTCTCTCACAGGGAGCCTGTCCAAGCCAACTGTGTACACTGGAAGAAGAGATTCTCTTTTATGTGTAAGATGAGTGCCAATGTTGGGACAGGTGTACTAGACCCCTGTGTGTGCCGGGTGTCTGTGCGCAAGGTACAGGACATTTTCTCTGCTATCAAGCTCTGTTTTGTCGGTACAAAAATGCATTGTAGGTGTTTTCCATAGTAGAGTACAGGCAGTTAACTGAGACTCGAATGTGCTACGAAAATGTTTATGTTTATAAGATCAGAAACACTTTTAATTTGTAACCATATCATAGCTCCTAAGTGTGCTGTGCAGACAATGGTCACCCTGCAAGGACTCACAAATGTTTTAATGAAAATAGTTGTGTGTTATAGAAACAAACAAATGCAAATGCAACCTCATTTATTTTTGTGTTTTTGTCATTTTAGGAGTTGAAGGGTGGAAAAACGTTTGCAAAGGTAATACTTCTCTTCAAAAATCTGTAGTCTGTATCTTCTAATTGTTGTAAACATAGCAGCCTAAGTATCAGTGACCCATTAGAACAATCTTATCATGAAATTTATGTGATAACAGTCGGCCTTCAGTTGCCCTTAAAGGACGTTTCAGTGAGGTGAGTCAGTGTGCTAAGAATGTTTTATTTCTAGTTTCCGGCTTTGGTTACTGATTAAAAAAATCAGTAAAACAAAACCTACTCCATGTTAACCAATAACTTAGTAGTTATCTGATTTCTCATGTATTGAAGGTCCCATCTCAGACACCTGCAGTGTGTTTCCCTTAATCTGAACTGGGATGGATTTCTTTAAATGAATATTACTGTGTGTTTTATAACACCACATTATCATAGGATGATGCTTTGGCTTGACATTCTTAAGCACTTCAGCAGAGAAAACTGCACTGTTACTATTCAATACAGTTTAAATTAGAGTAGTAGGGAGTACAGAGTAAAATCTGTATTTAACCTTTAAGCTGACTGCTAAAGAGTTCAAACTGATTGCTCTTGTGTGCAGCTGGGCTTTGCTGACTTGAACTTGTCAGAGTTTGCTGGGTCTGGCAGCACTACACGACGGTGTCTCTTAGAGGGATATGACACAAAGAACACCAGACAGGACAACTCAATTCTCAAGGTATGTTGGTGAAGCAACACACAGCTCCAAAGTCCTCCTTTAAATAGTGTGGGAAATGCCCTTAGGCATCTCTAGCACAACACCAATGTTTTTGGTACAGTCCAATAATGTGTTTGTACATGATAAGCAAACTGCATATACTTGCAAAAGTGTGTAGCTCTAAAGCAAGTCACCAGTTCTTAATCATTCCATGGATAGAAAGCTGAATGTCCTGATAGTTGATGCAAGACATGCCTGAGCTTGTATCTATGAACTACCTGAGCCATGGAAACCATGGGAACAAATTTAAAATATGTAGATTCTTCCTCAGGCACAGAGCTACAAGCAGCTTACATTTCTCAAATCTTATTTTAAACTGTAGATAACAGAAACCCAGTGAAACCACACTTCACAGGAAAAGCAAACTTTTTTCTGCCTCACAGGTACAGTTGCTTGTCAGCCTAAAACTGGAAGTACTGTTCTTCTTTTTTTGTTACAGGTTGTCATCACCATGCAACTTATGTCTGGGGACCCCTGTTTTAAAACGTAAGAGCTCTTCTTGACCTTATTCATCATTTCTTTCATTCATCCTCATCAAGTCTAAGTATTTTAGTATTCAACTTGAAAATTGTAACTAAGGAAGTCATGACTTGTTTAATTTTATTCGACTGAAAACGTTATAGTTGTGGTTATGATGCAAGTGTTGTCTGCATGAGTAAAAGTCTGCACCTAACCACAGAGGAAAGTTTTTTCATCACATCCTGTCTGTCGCCAAACTGTAAACGCAATCTCCTACCCACACCCTAAGAGTTCAAAGTCATTTTGTATTATTTTGTAGCCGAGGCCTTATCACAGCCTTATCTGAGAGCTAATAACACCTTGCCCAGACATTAATCTGCCCAACCTGAGAAGTGACCAACAGTTCATATGTGCTCAGCTCTGCCCAAAGTCAAGAGTTGTATGTTGAGCAGTTTGTCACAAAGGACGTGATGTAATATCACGTGCAAAAGCAGTATTATGTGCAACAGTCAGCTTTCTTCAACCAACACAAGTCTTTCCCTGTATTCTTACATGTTTCTACCTCCTCCTTAGTGTAATAATACACACACTGCTGCCTAGGAGATGTCCAAAGTGTAAACTCAAGGATAGCCTAGTCATTCATCCCACGCAGTGTTACTCACTGTGTGTGGAGGATTGACATCAGAGCACAGCAGGAAGATGACGCTCAATTAATTTTTTTCACTGTCTGTCTGCTATTCTTTGTCTGCCTCTACGCCCTCATTCCTGTGTTTAACATAGACTCTCAGGAGCAGGGAAGTGGGGTTTTTC